AAGGCAATGTCAGTTAGTCAGTCAGCAAGCACTTATTTAAGTGCTTACTGTGTGATGGGCTAAGCTAAACAAACATAAGCAAAAAAAAAAGAAAGTCCCTGTTCTCAAGAAATGTATATTCTAATGCAGAAAATTGTTATTGTTCTGTTGTTTTCAGTCATCTGACTCTTCATGATACCATTTGGTGTTTTCCTGGCAAAGATGTTGGGACTGTTTGCCATTTCCTTCTCCAGCTCATTTTACAGATGAGGAAACTAAGGCAAACAGTGTGAAGTGACTTGCCCAGGATCACACAGCTAACAAGTGTATGAGGGCACATTTGAACTCAGGAAGATGTCTTCCTGACTCTATACCCAGCACCGAACCACCTAGCTGTCTAATGAGGGAAAACAACACGTAAAAGGAAACTGAAAAGGGTCAGGGAAGCTGGAAGTGAAGGTACTTAGTTTAAGGTTAGAGTAGAGAAGTCAGAAGTACAGCTTGGTGAGAAATAAAGACAAGAAATATGAGTAGCTATGATGATGATAATAATGATGATGATGATGATGATGATGATGATGATGATGACGATGATAACATAGCCTAAGATAAAATTAAACTTCCTTATAGTAGCTGCTATTTCATATTGAGCTTATAGTCCACTAATACCTTGGGATCTTTTTTTTTTATGAGCTATTGCCAAACCAAGTCTCTCCCATCCTTTACTTATGCAATTTATTTATTTTATTTTTTCTCAATTACACATAAACAGACATTTTTAACATTCGTTTTTAAAAATTTTGAGTTCCAAACTCTTTTCCTCCCCTCTCCTCTCCTTGAGAAGGCAAACAATTTGATGTCAGTTATGCGTGTGCAATTGTGCAAAATGTTACCATATTAGCCATGTTTAAGCAATTTATTTTTAAGTTAAATGTGGGACTTTCTCTCTCCACATCCCTCCTTTTTTTTTCTTTTTTCTTTCTTTTTTTTTTTTTTTTTGCATCTCATCTCAAGAAGTCACCTGGTATAGTAGATAGAAAGCTAACCTTCAGGGCTAGGAAGACCTGAGTTCAAATACTGTCTCTACCAGGCTTTGTAACCCTGACATTTAAGCTTTCAGGGGGTGTCAAATTCAAATAGAAACATATCCCTGTGGACTGCATTATTGACCTAGAAAACCACAAATTAACATTATCTGTGTTGAATTGTAGACCACCAGAAGTCCTGGTAGATAGAGTGCCAGGCATGGAGGTGGGAAGACCTGAGTTCAAAGCCTCAGACATTTACTAATTGTGTGACCCTGGCCAAGTCACTTCACCCTGTTTGTCTCAGTTTCGTCATCTGTAAAATGAGCTGGAGAAGGAAATGGCAAAGCACTCCAGTATCTTTGCCATGAAAATGCCAAATGAAGTCACGAAGAGTTGGGCCTGACTGAAAACAACTGAACATGTTGAATTGTATTTTATTTATTTTGCTGAACTTCCCAGTTACATTTTAATATGGTTTGGACAGCACTCTGGACGTTTTAGGGGCAGCCTGTGGCTAGAGGGTCCTGAATTTGCTGCTCTGCTCCAGGCCACTCTCTTAAGACTATAAATTGCAGAAAAGGTGTTGAGCAGCACTGGTAGAGACAGCCTCCCCATCAGGAAGTTCCCTATCTCAGTGAAATCCCAGGTTCTATCCCTATATTTCATCTTGTTAGCTTCATCTCAGGGCTTCTATCTTTTGAAATCTCTTTGAATCTTGGTATTATATTTACTTCATAGTCTTGCCTCATCCACATATGAAAAAATAACTAACTCTTTAAGGCAGTACATGATTAAGTGCCAAATCAGGGCTTTAGACATTAAGTGCTGTAGGAGAGAGATGAGCAGGG